TGTTGGAGGTCGTTGAAAGAGGTGGTCCGGGTGATTTGAAACAACTTTTTCCTTAACGAGAATGTTGTCGGAGTCTTCGTTAAAAAGGTATTAACATAGGTTCACGCGCTAGGCAGCCGCAGTAGTATAGGCTACGCGTTAGGCGGCCGCAGTAGTATAGGCTACGCGCTAGACAGCCGCGCTGTGATTGGTCGGGGTTTTCTGTTAATATCTCCTTAACGAAGCCTTGGACGACATTTTCGCTAAGGAAAAAGTTATTTCAAACCACCCCCTGAACCACCAAGGACCACCTTTCAAGGACCTCCAACATTTTTGTGACACCCTATCTAACTATTAATAATCCCTTTATGAGTCCTTCCACGAAACTTGAAAATAATTACATTATTTTCCTACATATTTCCAACAGAATTTTCTCATATTGCACTTGCGTCGCGTTGAGTCACCGAATAGTTTGAACATCCATATTAATAGTTAGCATCAACTCGTTAAAACACTACAGCGAATCCATCATCGTAAAGAGACCCGGGCCACGGGAGTTTGTATGCTGCGTACTCAGCTAAAGCTGGACCGTGCTTTTTGCCTGCGCCGTTGCGTGGAAGTCGGACCTTTTCGAACCATTAACCGTTTCCCTTTGCCATTTTCTTTCCGGCGACCGGCTATGGAAATATAATCCTCACGGTCGCGTGTTGCAGCTCGCCGTAGACTCCGCAAGCTACATTAAACTTTACACGGGCGCGACGATCGACTGTACTGCGAAGCCCTTTGGGCGGCGATTATATTCGACTGCGCGAGGCTTCGTCACAATTTTACGCGTCAACCCGCTAGGTGATACTTTTCGAAGCTACGGGTCCTTGTAGCAAGGATTTTCGGTGGGAAGGAACAGATATGTAGATCGTGCGAAATAGTATGGTTAAGTGGACGGCGAACAGGAGAAATAGTAGCGCCACTGCGGTGGTCTTAGATTGAGAGGATTTTTATAAGGAAGCAGTTGATGGGTGACTCTTCAAATATTATTAACGACTGTGAGTGATAGTTTGAATTGAAGTTGGGGATGTTATGATGGTTTCAGTGCACGGCGAGCAGGAGAAATAGTGGCGCTACTGCGGTAGTTTTAGATTGAGAGGATTTTTTATAAGGGAGGAATTTATGGATGACTCTTCAAATATTATCAAATACTGTGGATATGAGTTTGAGTTTCATCCTTATTCTTTCGAAATGGAAATGGAAGTTTTGTATTGACGAATAGGGACGAAATTATTTATCTATATAAAAATAATTTCATCTCTATTCTTTAATACAAAATTTCCATTTCCGTTTCCAAGGAATAAGGATGAAATGATTTACCTACATAAAAATAATTTCATCCTGTATTCATCCTGATAAAAAATCTCCATTACCATCATCATTCTGGCAAGAATTTATCTTATCCTTTGACAAAGAATTTCGTTCTCGTTCCTTAATGAGAAATTCCTTATTTTCACTTCTTCTCCGTATAAGAATTCCAAGAACGAAAAATCCTACAAACAAAAAACGCCGTTTGTTTCAATCACAAGCAAATCCTCGAACTTGGCATCGAGCTCTTATTTCGCGGTTCTAATTCGTTCGATTCCGTTCGTCCGGCAGTCGAAGACGATCGTTGGGATTCTCGTCTCGTTAAGTCCGAGGGAAATTTCGGTCGCGCGGGACACGCGAAATTAGCAAGGAGAATCGTTAGACGGTTAAGACGTCGAGCGACGGACGGAGGGGCGGCGGCGGGGGGGGGGGAGGGGGTGGTTGGCGACGCCGTGGCGAAATTACGCGGCGAAGTTCAGCCCTTTGAAGGAACTTCGATGAGACGCGGTTCCCAGCGTTGGAAGCTACTTCGCTCGATAAACACGGCCCTTTGTCGGGCGGATCCAAGTGTTGTACGGAAGACAGCGGTGCTCCCAGTCGAAATACGGCAGGCGCCGTTATCGAATTCGCCCCAACTTCGCGACACTCGCGGAAGTACAATTGAACCGCGTCGAAGGCGCGCGACATTGTTCCGCGACGATCATCATTTTCCACGGGGCGGAACGTCGAATAACGATTACTTGGAATGCCTCCAGACTACCGAAGTCTTTCGATTTTCCTCGCGTTTATCGACAACCGTTCCCGCCGAGAAACGCCGCCGTAAGAGCGGCTAGCACGTCGAATGTCGACAAAGTTCGTCGACGAACAAGAACGGGATTCTCGGAGGGATCGGACGAAAATTCTCGGACGAAGAATGGAAAGTGAAATTTTGAATCATCAATACTCGGGTATCGGTGGGCTCGTCCATGACCGAAGCTTTAGTAATTGGGTGAATATTGGTGAATTTTGGTGAGTCGAAATGAAAATACGAAGTAACTGTTCCCGGAAATTTCTTTGGCTATTTTAAATAAAGGATTTTATATTGTCACGAGAGAAAATAATTCTTACTCGTTGGAGAGGGTTGTTGTACTATGGAAAAATGGTTTCTGTAATCGAATATTTATTTGGTGTTGCCAATATTTTTATCTCGTGAATCATAATTTTTCTTTTTTTGTATAAGTAAAGCAAGTCAGTCGATATATACGTAACTTTATGTCGTATACAATTATTAATCCTGAGATGTCAATTATGTTCTAAAAATAAAGATGAAAATTATTAAATACAGATAAAAATTTTCTATCGAGTCATTTGTTCTCGAAAAATGAAATCATTGAATGTAGCTATTACTTCCGGCAGTCCAAGCTGGCTTTAATAACCTTTTTCTTCTTCTTTAAGAAATACTTTTTCTCTGCGATTTGATCGTTCTAAGAATATAATTCGAACAGGTATTGCCGTGGGTACGTCGCTTTTCGAGTCGCGTCGAAAGCGAGGAGGCGTCAAACCGGCCCGTTTGCCTTCCTCGTGTTTCAGTTCTGCGGCAGGACGAAACCCAGGGCCATTACGTAACGCGAATTAAGTCGCTCTGACGACTGGCGAAATTGCGTCCTGGAGTGGCCTTTGAAGGAATTTTCGACCGTGAACGAAGCGTCGAGTCGAGTCGAAAACGCAGCGAGACGCCGTTCATCGAACACCGGCTACGGCGCCAGCTTCTTTAAAGGGCCATTCTCGTTTAACGGATCAAAAGAATCAATTTTCCCTCGTGACATTTTCTTAACATTCGACCAGCCCAATCATGGGGAACGGCGACGAGTTTCTTTGAATACATCCAAGGAAATAGTTGAGTGCTTTACAGCACCAAGCTTTCAATTTTTGAGCGTTATATATTTTTAACCGACTGAAAAAGCGGAGGTTACTGAATTCGCCATGTGTATTTTTTTTTTAGGTTTGTTATGTGTCAAATTTCGTAAGTGTCTTAGTAAATGATCCTACGAAATGTTACAGCTGAAAGAAAATCTGTACTTAATCAATTCACTGCCAAGTACGAGATGCCTCGTAGTCCAAATCGATCGCAATTACTCGAAGGGATAAGTTTATATACCTTTCGAGTCGCGAAATATTGCAACAAAAGATTGTAAACCGTTTTTGGTAAACGATAAATTTATTATCACTTTTTATTATCAAAGTAATAACCTAGATTACAGATCTGTATTAAATATTGGCTCCCAAGGCAAAATGCTTTAAATTTGCTTGACTGTGACCGGGTTAATATACATTTTGTATTTTGGAGAATATTTCTTATTACCATGATTGGAACTTTAGCTGAGAAGAACACTCAATGTTTGCTTTACGCGTAATTCAAATCTCTAAGTAGGTTATTTAATTTTCTGAGATCTTTACCAAGACTTGCCTCACCCCTTTGCCATTCGACTCTTTCAGGATCGAATCATCAATTTTTCCTAATTTTCGCTAACTCTTTTAAACCTACTCTTCCTGAACCCCCTACACAAATACCCCAATTTCTACAAACTCCGAAACTTGTTCAAATATCATCCCCCTCGTCATCCAGGTTATTTCCTCTTCGTTTCGAGGTCGAAGCCCCCGTAGAGAAGTTTCGAAAGGCCGCGAATATTTTTCATCGCTGTTGGAAAGAATAAACGCTACTTTCCCCCTCCCGAGTTCCTTTGTCTCCCCCGGCGTAGAACGACTCGTAAACGCGGGCAAATACTCGAGAGCGTTTTGCATATTTTTGTCGCTGGAAAGAAGGCCGGCTGCGTCTTTCGTTGTTCTTACGGTTTTTAAATTCCAACGCGAAGCGGACCTGGCAAACTTTCCGCGGTGGAATTTCTTCCTCAACTCCCGCGTCGTTTCCGCGCTCTTTCGTACCTCGACGGTCATGGGACGCCGTAACGCGTCCGCGAGTCAAAATTTTTTCGCAGAGTTTCGCGCGGTCTTGTTGCGCGCATCCGTGCAGAATTTCCCGAACAACGGAAAGCGGAATAATTTGCCGAGCCTTTAAAGGCTCTTACAGTCGCCGGCTGGAAACTAAATAAACAAAGCTACGAATTGAAACATCCGGAAAGGGAAATTTCTACGTAATCCAGCCGCTACATAATCTGTACCGCGCAAAAATAATGCTATTAGTCGCTGTTCGCCAATATCCTGTAAATCGAACGGCTCTCAAACTAACAAATAAAAATATAAAAGAAAGCTGAAGCACATCTTGGATTTAGAAAAATTCCAAATTCGCGGCGAATGTTTCGCGTTATTCGATTCGCGAAATATACATTTCCATATATTTTTAATATGTACACGTTCTAATTATCATAAATCTGATTAGTTATCGACCGATGTCCTTCTTCCATTCGTACACACCCAAAATTTTAGTCCTTGATCGTAAAAACGAATCTGAAATTTTCGTTCATTGGTGAACGAAGTGCGCCCAAACTGAACTCTGTGGAAAAAGGATCGAGCGATCGAACCACGAAAGTCACCGCTCTGGCGCAATTTAAAAGAATCTTTGATTTTAAGTTCACAGAGAGCTGCTGGTGAATGTTTCAGCGCGGCAGTCACCGCTACCCGATGGTAATGAAAGCAACGTTTGATCATCGACCACGAAGTAATCGACTTACCATGGACTGACTCTCTCGTCCCTGCGCTCGCTATATTCCCCCGGCGTCGAGCTTCCCCGCTTCACCTCCACCTTCTTGCGAAGAAAACACTCGCGAACTGCCAGCACGGCAACCACTTTGCGAGACGGATTCACCCGGCGTCTCTTTTTCTATCCCTTGCGACGTCCCTCCGCCCTTTCTCGTCCTCTTTCGACGTCGCGACGAAGACTGTCCCTCCGACGCGCTCCGAACTCCCGTTTAATCTACTTTCGTACTTCGCCGTGCTTCGGACCCGCGCGATCACTCCTCGGCGAGGGGCACTGTTTTCGAGCGGAGACGGGTCCCAGAATGTTCGAATTGAATTAGAGTTGGGGAACGTCGTTGTCAGAGGTTAAATGGGCGACGTGGGAATTTTATTGGGACTGGTAAAAGTCCCAACTTCGGAAAGTGGGACCAATTTTGTGAGTGGGTCGGTATCGAGAGAAATCTATGGGCACAAGTTTCTAAGTGGGTCGGTATCGAAAGAAATTCTGGTCACAAATTTCTAAGTGGGTCACTATCGAAATAAATATCTGGCCCAAATTTTCTAAGTGGGTCAGTATAAAATTTAATCTCTGGTCCCAAATTTCTAAGTGGGTCAGTATCGAATTCTATCTCTGGTCCCAAATTTCTAAGTGGGTACGTATCGAAAGAAATTCTGGTCACAAGTTTCTAAGTGGGTCAGTATCGAATTTTATATCTGGTTCCAATTTTCTAACTGGGTCAGTATCGAATCTTATCTCTGGTCCCAATTTTCTAAGCGGGTCAGTGTCAAAATAAATCTCTGGTTCCAGATGTCTATAGAATGTATTTTTATACGAATTTAAGATTAAGAACTATGAAATCAGTCCCAAAACAACTTGATGCTCGAAAAGGGACCTACCGACACGATCGATGATTCTACTGGACTTGATATTAAGAGTTCTTCGATCTTAACTCTCAACTCATTTCAAAGGCATACCCGAGTGAGTCCCGCGTTAATCACACAGTATTCTAACGTTTGGGCCTTATAATGTTGACCCTCTGTAGCAATTCAAAAACTGTGTCACGAAGAGGAACATACTCTCTTCAGGCCTTTCCCTTTAAGTGACACAGTTCCTGCTTCTCGAAGTGGGCCCACTCTATAAGGCCCAAACTGAACACACAACGTTTTCTACGACTTTATCGAACATACATTTTATAAAACACGTGCAATTCAGGTTATTCGTGCGTGGAATATTCGATAGAATCGATCCTTGAAAACCGTGGATCCCGACGATCAGGAATTATGGGAATTTTATTTCCACGTATCGAGATACACCAGAATTTTATTTTCTCCACCAACAGTTGCGACTTGAAAACCACGCGAAATTTATCGTCACGTATACTAACGAACAGAGATCCACGGGAACGTTACTTCTTCGAATAGACACGAATGTAAATTCACGTGAATTTTACTTTTACGATTGGAAAGCCGCGAGAATTTTATCTGCCGCGATCAGAAACCAACAGGAATTTTATTTTCACGGGCGGAAATCCACGGGAGTTTTATTTTCACGAATAGAAATCCACGGGGATCGATAGCTCCGCGGATCTCGAGGTTCGAAGCTCTCAAAACACGGGAACTGCTCCCAAAATTATCGATACGAGTCGAATATGGAATAATGGAAGAAATTTTATTCGATTTATTTTATATTGGAAGGATATACGAAGGGTATGACACATGGAATTTCATTTCCAATCCACAAATCCAAGAGGATCCACTGCTCCGGTAATAGATCTCGAACTTCGAAGCTCCAAGAGCTTAAATGAACGATGAACCCTCTTTGCATTCCTTACTTTAAAAGTCCGCATAATCAAAGGTGACAATCGTCTTAAATAACTTCGCTATTTCTATGAGAGATCGCCGCACGATCGCGTAAGTCAAGAACGAAAGAAATTCTATTTGCGCTGAATCCGAAATTTCAAACCTCCAAGACCTCGGAGAACTTCAAAACTGTCGAACAATCGCCTCGAAGAATTTCCTTTCCCTTGAGTTTATAGAAACGAACCAAGTCTCTGAAAATATGTGACAAGAATTCTCTAAAAATCTTCGCTTTTTCAATCACGATTTCAAAACTTGGGAACACTTTGGAGATGGTCAAGTTCGTTGCACGATCGCAATTCCCGATGCGCTATAGATCCCAAGCTTCAAACCACCAGGAGGACTTGAAAACTGTCCAATAACCTCCTCAAGGAAAATTTACATAACCGAACCTAAGGTCTCCATAAAAACATGCGACAAATACTTCTCTAAAACTTCTCGCCACCCCCATCACGCCTTCTAAAACTCAGACTAAATATCTGGACATGCTCTCAGTCTCATAATCACAAAATAAAAAACATCTAACATCCACGGAATACGAATCCAATTTTTCCATGGATCGCGAGTTTCGAAGCTTCAGGACCGCGAACAACTTCCGAACAGTCCCGTAACCTTTTCCACCCCCTATGTAAACGATACCGAAAGTCTTCTTTAAATTTTCCCAACGATTCTCTAAAGATCTTCACTATTCGTCAGTGATTACGAAAAAGATTCTCACAACTTGTCACAACTTCTAAAAAATCAACGAACCCTTTGACGGTCGAGTACGTCGCGCGAACGCGTCCCGACGGCCGTGGTGGCGCGGCCGCGACTGGCTCCCCCGGCCTCGGCCGGTGATCGACTCCGCCCCCTGGCGATGCGCGGGGGTCGAAGTCCCGCGTCAGACTGCAGGGTGTCACCCTCGGTCGTAGCCTCGAACCTCCGCGATTTTCCAGCCGCCGACAGGCTCTGTGTCGCGCGCGGAGGGCGCATGCCCCGCGAAATCCACCCTCGCCGCATCTCGGGGGGTGTGGGGAGGGGGAAGGGGTGGGTTGAGTTATCCTGCCCCCCTCGCGTGTGCACGTTCCTACGGTGGCATGTACGCGCGCGCGCGGGTTTTATCTGTGCTGTTCCGTTTCAAGGGGTTGGTATGGGGGTGAGGGGGGTTGAAAAGGGTCTGTGTCGGCTGCGCCCCCTTCGCTTGCACGTACACGAGACACCGTCTCCGGCTATCCCGGCGGTCGTGTGTTTCTGGTGACTCGGGGGGGGTTGCAGCGATGCAACCCCCTCTGGGATGTGTGCGTTTCATTCTCTCTGTCTCGTTGCTTTTTTTTTGGTCTCTTTTTATTTAGCCCGATTCTGGCGCTCGTCTTTTTTTTTTGAGAGAGATTCCGAGAGGAATTTGGGTTTCGAGGGATAGCGAGGGCGTCGTTAGCGGGGGGATGAAAGGAACCGTGCAATCGGTTACTGAGGGAGGGGGTTTCTGAAGGAGGGGATGGAGATGGAGGGTTCTCAGAAAGCGGTTTTTTTGGGAGAAATAGGGGGTGGAATTTGAAGAATTGTTTTATTTTAAGTGGAGCTGACCCACAACCCTTTATTGAAATTGAGGGTGGAAGTTGATGTCGTGTGAGTGTTTAGGCTATTAAAACAAAAAAAAAAACAAATTTTAAAGATTCGTTAAGGAAAATTCTTTGGAATTCGAAGTGTCAATAAAATGTCTGCCTCGTTGAGGCAGAAGTGACCCGATTTTCAAATCTCAAAATAGAGATTTCATTTTCGAAGTCAATCTAAGCTTAGCATTCGTGACAATAGAATGCTAAGAAAGCATCTCGCGTTGCTGATAGATACCAGAAAACAAAGCCTCGAGTGCAAAGGGTTAATAGTAATATGGCACCTTTTGTCCTCGCCACTACAGGGATGGAATCCACGATAATCAGTTAACTGTGTAAAGGGTTAAAAAACCCTTCTTAACCTTCTGTATCTTCTTTACTAACTTTTCATCTCAAACTCATAACGGCGGATCGTAAATAAATTAAAGTTAATTCCATCGGTGTTAATGTACCCCAAGAAGCCCGTGAAATGTAGTTCAACGGTTCTCTCGTCGTTTATTCGTTAAACCGGAAGGACCGAGTGACGGAAGGCAAGTGAGCTCGATCATTCAGGTTTCTTGACCTGACGGGATTCGACGTGTTTCGCAGTATGCTGAGTAGATGGTAATAGGCTTACCGCGTCGCTATATATTGGCTGCACGGTGGGGGCGTTGCTAGACGATCTTCCTCGTACCGCTGGCTTTACGATAAATTAATGTCGCAACAGCTGGTCGAAGTAGGTTGATTGTACGAGCTGCGACGAAGAGGACGCGATGTCTTACACGGGAAATTATATCGAGTTTACCGGGGATGTTTGAAGCTTTGGTTAATACGCTATCGCGGATTCGGGGGGTCAATGAACTCGCAGTGTCTGTCGCGATGGAACTTCTGGGCGCGCTGCGAGCTAATAACAAGTGTTCGAGACAGGCTGGAGGAGATTGGGCTGTGGCTGGTTCCCGAGTAAATTTTGTATGAATTTATTCATTAATTAATTCATGCGGGGAACATTATAGTACTCTTCGAAGTGACGTTGCGGTTGTTATATGCATTTTTAAGAGCGTCGATTCAAATCGATCGTCGAAGATACGTGGTACCACAGATCTCGCTTCATGGATTACAAATCGCAGGTTGTGGATCCCGAGTTATAATAATCGCAATTGTCCATCGGAAATCGCCGTAAGGTATTAGTCGTCGCAATCCATCAGTCATCGACGATCAATTCTCGGGAATTCATCAACCGTCACAACCGTCGATCATCGTCATCGTCATTTATCACATTCGCCAATTGCGAATCATTGCTGTCTTCTAAGAAATAACGTTCGTCACGATTGGACCGGGTTGAGAAGGAATTATTCACGAAACGACCTCGCTTGTTTGTCAATCTACCAATCAACAATTTCAGATTAATTCGATGCAATAATTTTTATACAAACAACAGAGAAATATGTATTAGGTATAATCTTAAGTAAACTCATCATTCGTTCCTAAATGAAAATCATGATCATCAATTCATACATTTCGTCACACAGACACTTCAAACCTCCATAAACCTACTCTCAAACTAGAGTCCCGAATGGTCGTATGTAAAGGTACAATTTCAAACATTTCACCATGTGTCGTCCGCGAGGAGTATCCGCGCGAATTCACGAACAGGTCTACCCTCGTATAACTGGAACTCCTTTTTAACCCGTCTGTCCGTTCATTCTTACGGTGCTTTAACGCATCATACGTTTTTCGCGCGGAAACAACGATTAATCGGTACCCGGTCCGCTGATTTTCGGGGATGTGGGTAACAGGGGTAGCTCGATACGCGGGAACCGAGTCCGGGGGGCTGGAAAAAGAACGCGCTGGAACCGATGTACGCTATCGCAAAAACCAACAGGAATTCGCTAATAGAAAATTCAAGGGTCTCCGTTTCGCGGACAAAAACATGGAAGCGACCGGGGAACAGCATCGGTCGATCAATCGACGCGTGTAACCGGTGCAGCTATGGGAAATTGACGAGAAAACAATTCGATCGAGGCGACGGAGAAGTCGTACCGGGATTATTTGATTGATTCTCCGCTGGTGTATCCCTCTCCCTGGACCATCAATGGGGGGGAAAAAAATGCCGACACGTTGGGAATGAATTTTCAAAACGCGCCAAACGAAATTCCGCTTTCCATCGACTCACATAGTATTCGATGCCTGTACTAGCCTCGATGAAGAGACGTTATGGAAGCATCGAGGCGGACGGATGACGTATCGATCACCTTCCATGATGAGTAAAGGCATTTTTATTTTATAACGCGCAAGCTGTTGGTTTCCACGACGATTCTTCCCCATCCCAGCCGCGATTATTTCTATGAACGCCTTCGTGTATGCGTGGGCGTCCTCGGTGCCTATCCACCACGAATTGGCGAGCACCCTGTTTACACGAATCACGATAAGTCGGTGCAAGGGCGCTTCTCGAACGGCATTTATCGATTATCCGTGGGTCGTAAGTGTACCAAATCGATCCCCCGACTCGAGAAACAATTTGGCTGACGTGCCGCGTTACATAACATTTGCGTGGTAATCCGATATCGATTCGAGGGGCAGACCGCTAGCACGAATATTATTATCCAGCGGTTAACAACAGTCTCCAGCGATCGAACGTCTTCGAACCGGAAGTAATCCTCGTTTCGACAAGCCACGAAAGAAGGATCGGAAGCTGCCGATTATTTCTGGTAGAAATTACTCGTAGTCTCGAATAATACCGTGGAAGGTTCAGTAACAATTACGCGGATCTTCGGAGTACTTGCAAGCCCGATGCAAGTCCGAGAAATAATAGTAAACATAAGGGAGTGTACTTCTTTGAAGGAACATCCATCAAATTCCGAAAATCGTTCAAAAGGAAAAAAACGATATACTTGTATTTCTTCTGAAGAACTTAGAGGGAACTTGTACTTTTTCATCCAGGACATACTACATACAATGCTTACTAAGTTCCCTCTAAGTTTTTTAGAAGAAATACAAGTGTATCTTTTTTTTCCTTTCGGACGATTTTGATGAAACTTGATGTGGGATTTTAGATCGCTAATTCCAAATTTGAATTCAAAATGTAAAAATTCAAAATGGAGAATCCAATATGGCAGACCGAAATGCGAAAAGTGACTGGAATTAGATGAAACTTGGTATACTGAGGTTTTTAAGCTCCCTGATTCCAAATTTGAACTCACGATATTGAAATTCAAAATGGCGGATCCAATATGGCGGACCAAAATGCTGAAAAGTGATTCTATTTGGATGAAACTTGATATGTAGAGACTTTTGGGATCGCTGATTTCAAATTTGAATTCAAAATATAGAAATTCAAAATGGTGGATTCAATATGGCAGACCGAAATGCGAAAAGTGACTGGAATTGGATGAAACTTGGTATACTGAGGTTTTTAAGCTCCCTGATTCCAAATTTGAACTCACGATATTGAAATTCAAAATGGCGGATCCAATATGGCGGACCAAAATGCGGAAAAGTGAATCGATTTGAATGAAACTTGATATCCGAGAGTTTTTGGTGCCGCTGATTCCAAATTTGAACGTAGTATCTAGAAATGATATACGGTGAATCCAATATGGCGGACTCGATCACCTAATACGTCTTTCCTGTCGAAGCACAAACCAAACCGCAAAGAATGCAAATATTCTTCGAATACGTTCCCCAAGTGGAAAAGCGTTCCATGGAAATACTTCGCGGGTGAAACGCTGAGTTGGTGGTGAACTTTCTCAGCGTGCAGTTTCGCGGCAATTAATTTTTAAAGAACCGTGAATATTTCACTTCTCCAGACTCGGCGTAGCCCTTTAAACTGCATTAACCAGCGACTCCCCGATAGCGAAACTTTCCTGGGACGTTTGACGGATGAGGTCGGTCCGACTTTCCGCATTTTCGATTCCGCGGTAATTAATCGACGGCCACGACTCGTCCGATCGCTGCGCAACCGTTTCACAGGACTAGAACGGTGGGAGAGATTCGCAACCATAAATTCGCGAGCCGCGCGAAAACACGCCGGAAACGAATGAATTATTTCCATCCCGCTCGACTCGGAATTCGAAATCGAGCCCGAACCCTGTGTCAGCGGTCGCTGGTTTCTTCGTCGTTATCGTGGCCTTAAATCCCCGCGACTCCTTTTCTTGGGGAGGGGGTGGGAACGCCAGTAGAACATTTTTCGAGGCCACTCTATTCCAGTCGCGGGTTAGTAAATATCGGAACGTCAAAAATTCAACAAAGTTGCACCCACCGCGAAAATTCAACAAAATTGCATCTCAGAAGTTTCGAGTGGAGCGATTCTTCACATTTTGATCAACTTTTGAGACGTGCAACTATTTTGAATTTTTGAGCAAAGCCTTTTGCAACATTGTTGAACTTCGCTCCGCTCAAAACACAGAGGGATTTCTCACATGTTGCTGAACTTTTGCAGCATCTTCGAACTCCGTAAAAATTCTGTTTAGGCCTCGTACAACTTCGCCAAGCGGTATCCGAAATCGTAATTCCTCGGCGAGCTTTTCAGACCGTCGAAGGCTCGAAACGAGACGATTTCGTCGTTTCCCAGCGAAACAAACGCCAATTTGTCCAGGTCACGTTTGCCAGGCGCGTGAGACGAGCTCGCTAAAATCGAGCCCCGCATTTATAGGCGGATTAAATAACCGAAGCAGAGTCTCTGCATTGTCGTCGCTGGCGTGCCGCGCGTTACAATTAGCTGTATTTTAATTAACGCGCGCACAGAGACAATGGCGCTGGTATATTTATTAGGGGCGCGCTTCGAGAATAGCCCGATCGCGTACAATTCAACGTTCGGCTCGAATTTGCGCGTGGGCAGGCGCGAAACGGTAACGGAACTCGAACTTCGTTAACGGGGGGAGGAGTATTAAGAAATAATTGGCGAGGTGGTTACGTCTCGACGCTTTTCCGAGTTGGTGTTTGTATTAAAAGAAGTAAATGTCGTTGGGACTGCTGGAGACTAGAGGTAAACGAAGTTTCGTGTAATGGCTAGGACGAGAAGCACGCTGAAAGTGCGCATCGATTTTTCGTTTCTTAACGAGCCCGAAGTCCGCCCAAAACCGGATCAATTCCACTCGCCCGAGTGAACGCGGTTCCATTCTACTCGTCTGATCGGTAACGGTCCTATTTACGCCTGTGATCTGAAACGGTTCTGTTTTATTCGTTCGAGCGGGAAACGGACCCGCGCCCATCTACCCAAGTGGAAATTGTTGTATTATGTTTGTCCGCCTAAGCACAGCCCTACGCTTCTAGCCTGCACAAGAGCGATCCTATTCGACTAATTGATCACAGCTGTTCACCGTTCCAATTATCTATTCGAGCGCGGTCCCGTCCTTCCCCCTTACGTAAGGATCTCTCGTATTCTGCTAATTA